TCTCCAACCATCGCCACAAACGCAGTCCGCTGCAACCAGCATCAAAATTATGAAAAATTTTCCTATTACAACCTCAAAAATCACTAGAATTCAGGGAACTCAAATACAAGTGCAGGAACCGTAACCTAAGAAAACAGTCAACACCTATTCTTCCCACAATCAGAGAGGACGGGAGGGAACTACTTCTCTCCCCATGGAAATTCCTGCACCTATTTACGTCTCTGGTAATATAGTGAATCACTCCTCCCCCCAAAACGAACTCATGTCCTTTCACTGCCTCCGCTGGAAGGCGCCCCCTCACCTCCCAGCCCCAGTTCAGAACAGCCCCCTAATCCTCCTGCTCCCTCACGAGCAGGCAATACCTCATACAGTACCTCATCCATCCCGTATCACCATTCAACTATGCCCATAACCTCGCCAGTCCCGCCTATCCCAGTTCAGACTATGTCCACCCCAGAATTGTCATACAACCTTCTTATCCAGTTCTGCCAGTTACACCCATAACATTGTTTTCCTTCTCACTGTAACTAATCTCCTAACTGATTTCATCCCTTTTCACATCCTTCTTCACGTTGTTGGTTCTACCGCTCATGATCTCACTCTGTTCTACTCTGAACCCCATAACCTCGTCAAGCCCTTGTTGCCACCCTGTACTGTAGTACTAATACTAAGCAACCCATAACTACTAATGCTCACCTTGCCCCAGCATTCGTATTTACATACTTTTTTTGTCATTTTATGATTTAGGCAAGGACCCCACTGCGCTGTGGATGGAAAAGTTGTGTGCCCACGAAAAGCGGGCAAGTCATTTTGGAAAGTCGGAAAGTACCTTTTTCGGGAACCCATGGCAGAGGACCAAATGCGCATTCTGGAAATTTAAACCCTTTGGAAATCAGTTGAGCTAATCGTTGCCTGTTTCCGTTGGCACTCGTTTGTTTTGTTCTTTTTTTCATTTTTTTGTTTTTTTTTTGTGGCACTCTTCATCGCTTTTGGCTGCTGCCTCCCGTGAGACTTTTACAGGAACGACATGCCCTCCACCCTACCCTCTAGAGTCGGCACAAAATTTCAGCGAGGAATCCTCCCGTGTCAGTACACGTTCAGAATAGACGCCATAAGGATAGCAGGTGGATGGCAGCCGTTAGAATGGAGGGAGACTCCACTGGTGCCCCCCGTTGGCTCTCCCCCTAATACCCGACCGTGCCACAGGTTAGGTATGGAGGGAAAGGTTGATGGATATGGGACACTGGACCCGGTTTCCAGCACAATGGTGTCACTGTCAATGATGTATAATTTTGTAAAGATGTATTCAAGGGACGTTGGACCCGGTTTCCAGCAGGGATGCTTCCCACCAATAAATGGAGCGGCCCGCTAGGCAAAGCCTCAATCCCGGTGGTTCTCTTACCACCACCGGGATAGAGGGTTTGTACGAGGGCTTTTCAAAAAAAAAAAAAAAAAAAAAAAGACTTTTCCGGGCCGCGGACTATGTGGAACAATCATGCAGACTGTTTACACAGTACGCCTGTCTCTTATACACATCTAGATGTGTATAAGAGACAGCTGTGGAACAATCATGCAGACTGTTTACACAGTACACAGCACACTGACACATCGCACAAAGGAGACGAGTCAAAGTTGTTTGTCACATTATGCCCGAACAATATTGTCAACTCCTAGGGAGAACCCGGTGGTCAACATCGTGAAGCTCAAAGTGACGAAAGCAACTAGCTGACCGCATAGCGGTTCCTAGTCGCAGATAGTCCTGACGGACGAAAAGACCAAAGAAACCACGCGTCCTACTTTTATTGTATCAGTCCCACCCATCATCACGCTCCCTCGACAAAATATTCCTATCCCTATTGGCATGAGTTCGACGCTTCGTGACAAGGGTCTGTCAGGCCTAAGAAATTCGGACCAAAAACAGTCAAAATTCTCGTCAAGGTACACTTACGTGGGCCAGACCCCCAATTTAACCACCAACCGACCATTAGCCTATCATGTCTTTACCCGGGGCTCGAACATGCCCCCCTCATTTAGCCCGTAACCCGCTTGAAACGTCAGCCTCCGGAAGGGTATTCCCTGGTTCAAACAAACAGAACTGTCAAACAAGGCAAACTATCCACCCCTAATCGATACTATCCACTACACTCACAGCATCACCAAATCAGGTACACGCAATTCCATTCAAACTAGTCTAGAATTCAACACAATTCAAGGAAACGACCAACAGTCCAAACAATAGCAAAAAACAAAACAAACTAGTCTAGAATTCAACACAATTCAAGAAAACGACCAAAAGTCCAAACAATAACCAAAAAAAAAAAAAAAAAAAAAAAAACAATCCATCCTTCGGGAGCTCTCAATCCATGGTCCTGCTGTCGGTCAGCAAGATCGCAAACTACTTCCAGCATCCGCCCTTATCCTTGGTGAAGTTCCTCAGGGCTCTGCCAAACCAATCATCCCGGTAATGCCTCCTCCGCAGCTCCATTTTGAGAAGAACCAAGGAACTCAGGATCTCGAAGCTTTCCATAGATTTCTGGTAGATTCGATGCAATGCGTTAATGATGACAGCCATCTTGGCTTTCTTGCTCGTCCAAGAATCAAAATCCTGAAAAACTTGGAATGACAATTTTGCCCCCAGCCTGATCTCTTCCCTGTTCTTCATCAACTGCAGGACATCAATGAAAGGGAAAGAGTCCCCAATCCTCAACCTACATCCGAGGAATGTCCACTGATTATCACTCCCATCGGTGCGTTTGAGGGTAAGGGCCTCATCATAACATTTTTCAAATTTCCCAGTCAGCCGAAACGCTTTGTCCTTAGATCCTCTCTTCTTCTTATTGTACGTGACGAAGACAGACGCGTCATCCACAAACCTCAATCCTCCCACCAGTCTCTTATGACTCCCAAGAGAAATCAAAAAGTCCCATTCTGCTTTCGCACACATCAGGCATGCCAACGGGGGGCTCGAGCTCTTCTCCATTTGTATGCCAATTGTCTGTTTCAGCAAAACGTCAGATGCTCGAGTAAAACGAAATTCCAACTCAAAAGAAACAAATTCAATCAAATACTGAAAGGACAACTTGACAAACCCATCAATCTCCGTACTCTTACTCAGTCGAACCCCTCTTCCCCTCCTCTTAACAAACACACCGTCGTATCCTCGTTGTGAAAACCACCACACACACCAATCAACAACCTTCCTGATAGTGTCGTGAGGGATTTTATTAAACATATCTTTAATATCGTCCGAAGCCCCCACAACTCCAACATTCGCATTACTCCTCTTCATCTTCTGATTGATCATCTCTAATCGCTCCTTCATTAATGACACTGATTGAAGGTTAAAATTACCAGACTTAGGCAGCGAGAAAAGGAGATCGTATCCATCATTCTCAAGGAACGTGGCCTGCATACCCCGTGCGTACATCACTGGACACATGGCGAGCGTGTCACCCGGATTGCGATCCAGAGGTGAAAGCACCAGCCCCTGAAGGCTACGCTTCAGCTCCATAACCGTCTCGAAAGTGCAATCTTTGCCAAAAATGACCTGCTCGTTCATGCACTGCTTCACGTCCCCCGGATGAAAGCTTACCGTCCCGGACGTAATGCCGGACCTTTCCTCAAAGGAATCGAAGACGTCTGTCAGCTCCTTCACAAGGTTATCCTTCCTTTCATTCTTCTCCTGTCGCGGTACATTCTTGGCGTTTTTCGCGATTCTTGGGATCTCATCGAGATCACTCAGACGGAAATGCACGCGCCCCTCGATCCGTGGATAGGGCATACCAGCTTAAGAACAGCTGGCATCGCGTTGCGGCGCATACCGTCGGTGGTTACGAATCAATGTACCTACGTTGGGGCACTTGGTCCACACCACGCGCGCTCTTCGTTTTACCATTTCCTTCAAAGGACTCTCGATCTCCAATCCACCTATCTTTCTCCTGACTACTCTAATCACCTCACTCTTCTTTGCCATCTCATCGTACTCAATCCGGACGATAATCCACTGCCTAACACTCAATCCATGCATCTCTTTAATAACCCTAGAAATCATATACCTAGCCTTCGATCGGCTCCTCTTCGTGGAGAAAGCGTTGATCGCACCATAGTACTTGACAAGTGCACTCAGGCTCATCGTCTTTAGAGATCTCTTACGGGACGGGTTTCGGAACATCCCCACCATTTGATCACGCAGATAGAGAACTGCGGGAGACGCCTCCGTAATCCGTCGGGTTACTAACGACCCCCCTTGCTCGACCAACCGCTTACACCTTTTTAACGGCTTCGTCCTCTTTCCCCACTTCACTCTCGTTTCTCCAAAAAGTCATCGAACAAGTCTCCATCCGTCAGCCCACACACTACCCCCCTGACATTCGAGTCGAATATCTCCTTTGATTCCCTCCTCTCTCAACTTCCTAAACAATCGCACGATACCCACAGTCCCTTTGTCCTCCCCTGCTTTCCGAATCTCCACCATCTTCCCCTTCCCACGATCCTCATTCCTCCGAATAGAATTCCTCTTCCCACGTTCATCCTCCAAGTGTTCCCGGGTCTTCTTCCGTTCCCTTCTTCCAGGTAGCCTCCTGCCCTTCTTTGTTGAAGTCTTCTTACCCTCACTCCCTCGGGTATTAAGACAAGGCGACTAGAGTTTGATCAGAGTACTCTCAATGGCCTCAAGCTCTCTTCGATCATCACTGAAATACAGTGGCACAACCACATACTTATGCACACCGACCTTCCCGAGCCAATTGTAAAGAGCTCGTCGCCGTTTATTACCACCTTTTCCGAGACCAGAATTCTCGCGCCATCTGGCCCACAAGCGCCTCTCGGTCATGCCGATATACACCTGTTTGAACCATGGTGAGATGAGCACGTAGACACAGCCGCCCGGGTCATCCAAATCCAATCGTCCCTTACTCACTTCGTCTTCCCAGTACTCAGTAAACTTCTCTCCCCACCTCAGCTCCCCAACTAGTGCTAGCTCAATCGTAATGAGTCTCAACAGCTGATCATCAATTTTACTCTTACCACTGTCTAGTTGTCTCCGTGTACATATTAGCCGCGCTAATTCACGCAATCTTGTTCCATTAAGACAACATCACTCCGCATCATCATCACTCTCACTCAAGTCCTCAGAAGTATCCTCGATTCCTCGACCCTGGCACTGTCCGATGCGGTCTTCGTACTCTGAGTGGTCATCCTTGGTGTAGCCGGCAGAGGTATGTAGGTGGCATCATATGCAGTAGTCACCCTCCGTATGACCAAACGTTTGATCGCGGCCTCTCGATTTCCATAGGTCACCCTCTCGCGCTTACACACTTCTTTCAATTCGTCAATCGTCAATGCGTCGTAGAAGTCACGAACGTACGATTCGTACTTCTCCTTCCCACCTGGTCTGCATGAAGCAGAAATATGCTTCAGCGTCAAATCAATCTTCCGCGGTGTATCAGACGTCTGCGGGTCCTCAGCAGGAGCCCTCCTTAACTCTTCAATTCTTCTCCGCGATCCTTCGGACAACACGGTATTTGATCGTTTCTCCGGAGTAACCATAGGAGGGCTGTTTCCCAGCGCCACCTCCTTACCGCGCTTACGCTTATCCACTTTCTCTTGAATTCGCAGTCCCGCTGCCTGCTTACGTAAGCGCAGTAGCTCATCATCCGCTTCGTAGGTCTCATGCAGCGCTAGCGTCCTCCACAGTCGTTCTTTCTCCTCCTCCATCGTTTCTCCAAACTCCTTGACCTTCTTCGCCTGTTTGTCAATTACCACTCCTCGGCTTCGTCGCTCTTCCTGATCCCTCAGAATCTTAGAGTCAATCATGGCTAGCAAACGAGCATCTCTATCTTCCTCATACTGTGTCTCCTCCCTCAACTTCTCTAGCCTCTTCTTCTCCTTCTCCAACCGAACTGCTTCTTCCTTCCTTCTGCGTTCCTCCATCCTCTCCCTCCTTTCTTCCGCCAGCTGTACGAAGTATTCCCTCATCAACGTATTAGTGTCGTCCGGTTCAATCCTGTCACCGCCGCTTTCGACTGAACGGCTTCTCCGCACACTGCTATCTTGCGTCGACGTCCTGCCCGTACGTGCACCTCCATGGCATAGGGCGTAGGTACAAAAGCTCGACCCAATGCCCGAGACTGCCAGTACTCCGCACAATCCCTTGCGTAATGCCCAGTCTCCCCACACTTGAAACAGCGATGATTGTCCGCTGGGGGTTTTGACGTCCCCTCGTCGGACCTCCGTTCCCCTGAACCATCGCTCATCCTGACGTAAACACACTTCACCTTCGAACAAGCCTCAGCTCCGGTCGTCCGGTACTCTTCCGATTCCGACGTTCTTCACAACACCTTGCGACAGCATACACTCATCCCATATATTATCACCACCGCCACCTCTTCTAGGTACTGTTGCCTAGCAGGTTACAGCGCTTGTTAAAGGAACAATCATGCAGACTGTTTACATAGTACACAGCACACTAACACATCGCACAAAGGAGACGAGTCAAAGCTGTTCATCACATTATGCCCGAACAATATCGTCAACTCCTAGGGAGAACCCGGTGGTCAACATCATGAAGCTCAAAGTGGCGAAAGCAACTAGCTGACCGCATAGCAGTTCCTAGTCGCAGGTAGTCCTGATGGACGAAAATACCAAAGAAACCACGCGTCCTACTTTTATTGTATCAGTCCCACCCATCATCACGCTCCCTCGACAAAATATTCCTATCCCTATTGGCATGAGTTCGACGCTTCGTGACAAGGGTCTGTCAGGCCTAAGAAATTCGGACCAAAAACAGTCAAAATTCTCGTCAAGGTACACTTACGTGGGGCAGACCCCCAATCGAACCACCAACCGACCATTAGCCTATCATGTCTTTACCCGGGGCTCGAACAGGCCCCCCTCATTTAGCCCGTAACCCGCTCGAAACGTCAGCCTTCGGAAGGGTATTCCTTGGTGATGCTGTGAGTGTAGTGGATAGTATCGATTAGGGGTGGATAGTTTGCCCTGTTTGACAGTTCTGTTTGTTTGAACCGCGGACTATGTGAAAACACAAATTGATGTTTTTCCAAGCCGCAGTCTTCGGTCTGTGGGCTCCTGGAAAAGGGTTTGCAAAAGAAATTTCACCTTTTCCAGGACATTTGCGGCAGGCTGTGGGGTCCTGGAAACAGTTTTGCGGCAAAGTTTTTCCTTTCTGCTGTCCTGTGGGGTCCAGCCCTTAGTTCCCCACTTATCTCCTCTTCCCCCCTGTAACCCCTCCTACCTACCTCTATCTCCCGCATACTATCCCCTACCCTACCTTATTATAATACGGCTATCTAGCTATACTACTTCTACGGTTCTACCCCTTCTTTCTGTGCTTCCTAGCTCTTCTAACTATAATACAATAAGGTTGCTCTGCACAACCGCCGAACTCGGTCTTCCAATTCATCAATGGGGTCCTCTGCTGAAGCAGTCCCAGGATCATGGCACAATAGAATCGGGCCAAATTGCATGTGGCTCGTGCAGGGGTCCCGGGTAAGCAGCTGGGGGTACGGACCCCATCTTGCCCAAAAGCCTGCCTCCTTCTTCACCCCTGTGTGGCTGCCCTGGTGCAGATCTGCCAGGAGAGTTATTCCAATGCTCTCCAGCACATTTTCGTTAATAGGCCCGTAGTGGAGGGGAAGCTCCCTGACAGTGTGTACATCGCTCATTCGTCCAAGTCCACAGCGCCCATAGTACTGTCGCCCGCAGGGTCTCTGCCGCCATCAAATCCTCTGGTTGTTCCCTACCCACTTTCATCAAAGCCCCCAGGAGGATAGCTCTGGTTGTGCCCTACCCACTTTCATCAAAGCCCCCAAGAGGATAGCCGCATCATCTGTTTCGGTGACTTTCAGCGGGGTCTTATCTGCTAGCTCTTGTGCTTACCATTCCCAAACTGCTCTGACAATCGGGCAACGCACAAACACATGGGCACAATTTCCACCTGCCCACACCCCACCATGCATCCCTGGTCCCTGTGCCGACTCTTAGACGCCAACCATTGCGCTGTGGGAATCGCCAAGTGTTAGATTTGCCAGAGCAGCCCTGCTTGTTTCTGGTCCGGCAGTGCTGCAAGGATGGCACATTGCACATCCCACCTTCGGTGGGTCCACCTGCCAATGTGTACATCCGGAAGCCAATCCCTTTTAGCCCATCTATTCTTCAATTCTCCACAGATATCCACTGGCTCCAGCAGGGAGTTATAGATGTTTTTTGTGGTAAGTTCCTGGAGCGGCACATATCTCCCCTGCATTCCCTTTTTCTGCCCATTCTGTAATGAAGCCTGCAGATTCTCAGTGGACTGTACATTGGGCTGAGGGCGAAGCTCGGGGCTTGCCTCGGTCGAGTCGCGTCTTAGGTCAGATTCGTAATTTTGTTTGGCTGAGGGCTAACCCAGAGACCTACCTGTGAGGGTAATCCGTGAGGGACATATCTGCAAATCCGGGAAAATACAGGCCCCGTACTAACCTGATTCCCTACAGCTACCCTAACTGCGGATAGCAGGCCCGGGCTACCCCTAGACAGACAGGCCCTATGGGCCTATTCTGAATAGAGGTCCTATAGCCTATAGCCGGGTCCGGAAGAGGCCGAGAGGCCGAAACAGATACGGTACCGGTCTGTCAGTCAGTCCGCTCTAGGTCGGGGGTTGGCTAGTTGTAGTCTATAGATAGATTGGGCACATCGGTTCAGGGCTTTTGGGAGTTGGCACCGAGTACATCGCTGCTGTGCTACGCGTGAACCAGAAGTGGTGACGGCTCAGCGTGGAAGAAGACGGGCATAGCCAGACCTTCGGAGTGCAGGCCATAGCTGGGACCTGCGCTGTACTCTGCCAGCACACAGGGGCTGACAGAGGTCTGGGTTATCGAGGTCTGCTGGAGGCGAGAGAGATTGGTGCCCTGCTGGACCCTCCTCCGGAGTGGGGTCCCAGAGGGTTCGCGCTGCAGCCATAGCTGCAGATTCTTCATCTCAGAGGTCATCTTGTCAAGGTTTGGTGGCGCTGCTGCAGACTTCCACCCGGGAAGTCGTCCGACACTTCATCATCATCAGATACTGTGGTGCTGGTCTTCTTCTTCATCCTCTGTGTAGAGCTTGGCCTCAGAGGCCTGTTTCAGGGTGGCGCTGCCCCCAGGAGGCTGTACTTGGGTGGCGCTTGATGTTTCAGGGGCTCAGGGGTGTTACGGGTGTTACTCAGGGTCGGGGAGTGAAGCGCTGCTCATATCTGAGCAGCGCACTGTAGTTCTGAAGTTATCTTAACAATTCGAGACTCTGAGTTTAATAAACAGTGTGATACTGTGTCTGGACTATCATCGTTTCATTGTTCTCTGCATGTGATCTGCTCGGCTTTTCTCTTCTCTATGACTGGTTGTGAGGATTGAGTGGAGTGAATTGCACTTTCAGTGTACCCTGTCATATCGCATAGTCAAGTCTTCCGCTGTGTTTATCTCGCCCTGTGCAGTATGATACTCCTATCCTCTCCCCTTCCTTCTGTGTATGTATGGGCATATGCGGAAGTCTATGTGAGTGAGTGTTGGCCTACAGGCAACGAACAACCAGAATCATAACAATTCCCATTCCCTTGGGTCCCAATCCGAATCCCTTCTTCTGGACTCTATTCGAAACGGTCGGTATTGACTCTTCCCTTTATTCCTGCTTTCGCATACTGCCACCGTTTCAACCATCTCCCTGTGTATTCTTTTACAAGGATCCCCCTCTGCTGTGTCAACCTCCCGCAGCGGGTCCCCCAATCTCTTGTATCCAGTGTTCACCTGCCAGCTTGTGATCTGCAACCTCCCTTCTTCCAGAATCTGCTCCAACTTGTATACCCTCTGCGGCCTCTTTTCATCCTTCATTTTCACCCAATGCATTCTCCCGGAGTAAGGTTATGCTTTCTCAGCATGTCTATCCACCCGGGGCCAGGGTGGGATGGCCTCTCGGCACTACGCTGGCTTCAAGAAACCTCTTTCTCTCTTCGTCCCCTGCTGCTGGAATGTCCCAGCCTTTCGGCGGGGCTATCCTCAGCGGGAGGATGGCCTTCAATTTGCACCAATTGACCCGTGCCCCTGAGTACTTGCAAAAAGTCTGCAACATCCACAAATGTCGTGGACTGCAGCTCCGTTGGGCCAGCCTTCATGCTGACTAGTCGATCATCCACCCTCAAAATGTCATGGCATCGCATTGATTCAGTGTAGATAACATAGAGGGCAGGAGATAGCGGGCACCCTTGCCACACCCATTTGGTGATCATAATTTTGTCGGATCTGACGCCCGGCCCATTGACTTGCATTACAATTGCTGCTCCTGTCAGCAGGGTTCTCACCCAGCCTCGGTAGATGCCTCCAATTCCTCTGCATGCCATTCCTTTTAGCAAGAACTCCCACCGGACCCGGTCATACGCTTTCTCGAGGTCGATGGATAAGAAAGCTTGCGCATGGCCTGTTCATTTGGCCTCCTCAAGAATCTGTTGTCCCAGTTTTACTTTTGAAAGGATTTGTTGCCCCACCACAAATCGAGTCTGCGTAGTGTCAATATTTTGCGGTAGTACTCCCTTAGTCGGGTTGCTAGGACTTTTTCCAGGATTTTATACAGTGCATTGAGAATAGAGATTGGGTGCCAGTCATCCTAAATCATCCTAAACGATCCTCAATCATCCCAAATTATTATCAATGATCATCCATGATCGCCAATGATCATCAATGATGAATGATCATCAATGATCATCAGTCATGAATGTATTTCCATTATATGGGACGCTGGGCCCGGTTCCCAGCTCGTGGTGCTCCCCACAAATAGATTGGAGCAATTAAAAAAAAAAAAAGAAAAAAAAGTAGTTACTAACATCCTCCTTTGCTCCTTTCTTATACAGGAGGATGATGAACGCGTCTACTAAACCTCGCAGGAGGACGCCAGATTTGAGCGCTTCATTGTACGCCACTGTTAGCAGGATGACGAAAAAAAAATGAAAATCCTTAAACAATTCCACCGGCATGCCGTCCATCCCTGGTGCCTTCAGTGAGGGGAGCTCTACTATTGCTCTCTCCACCTCCTCCGACTCGATGTCTTCTTCCAATTTACACGTACTCTTCAGATCTAAGCAGTTCCGGACATGCCTCCATACTTCCTGTTCTGATGCCTAGGCCATAGCCTCTGAGGTCCATTGCTCTTCTTCTACAATTGCCTTTTTTTTCCTTTTTTTTTTTGCCTTTTTTTGTTTCTGTTTTTGGGCCGGCTGAAGCAAAGACCGAGCATTTTCTCAGTACCTGGGCCTGCCATCTACTTCCCCCACCCCCGACAAGTAACAGTCGTGTCTATGGCCAGCAGTCGCACACCACAGACAACCCCACACATACACACACACATACATACAAACGCCCATGATTGTAAAAAACCCTACCAATGCAGAGCGGGGGAAACAAGCCAACTATATGAGTTTTTTGCACTAAGCATGACCGAGCGGTCAGTGGGAATTGAACCCACGACCTCCTGAATGCCATTGCAGTGCCTACCCAACTAAAATAGGCCTCTACTCAAATTCTCTTTGAGTACCCTGGAGCTGTTCAACATAGGGTCTCCTTAAACACTCTTAAATTGCCAGTTTTTAAGACTAAAGTGTAGTTAGAAGAATCCTAAGAACGAATTCGTGAAAAATCAAGGTGAAAAGAGTGAAAAATCAAGGTGAAAAGAGTGCAAGGATCATTCATAAAAATTCTGGAATCCCCAGACATAACGACCTGAAAATAAAGCAAGACTTTGTTTCGTGGAGCATTGCCGACGCATACAGAGCGATAATGTTGCATACTGTAACGGTGCAGACCAGAACAAGAACCGACCTCTCTCACAAAGTACAAGATAGCGTAGCGGAAGACTTAGATACCAATGATCCGAACAATCAATATTGCAATGCAGCCCCAACATACATCATCATCGTTCCATGGTGTGAAGGGGCCTGGCGCTCACACAGGAAGAATGTGCCAGTCCCCGCCATACACAGACAAAGAAGAGGGGGGTTAGACGAAGAAGAGGGGAAGATGGGAATGTCGTCAACACCAAGTCTTCGGCACAAGC